GCTCCGCAGGCTGAACTGCTAAACCCAACCCTGGGAGGCACCCTAACCGCGACCCTCATCCAAGCCGGTGCTTCTTGCAATCCTGCACCGTCTCGAGGTGAAAGAAGCTAGTGGGGGCGGAACGTCCACATCATGCCGGAACATCCAGATCATGCAGGCATCACGTGAACTACGACACCGCACCACCTCCTCTTGCTCTGCTCAGATCTGATCAGCCTGGGTGCTGGGATCCGTCGTAGCCCTCCTTCAGCCAGTTCTCGTGGTGCGTGTTGATAACCACCTGGGATGGATGGCTCCCATGCCTTGAAACTCCCATGCCAGGCCTATTGCAGACTGAAAGTACCGAAGACAAGCCACATGGAGGCCCAAGCCCAAGGCATAGTCAACAACTTCCGTGACTTGCTTTGTGAGCAGGGAGTCGGCATCGAAATCTCAGGGCAGAACCCTACGGCTCGGGAAACTGGAAAGAGGGCAGAGGCTTTTTGGAAATGTACTTTATGCTGAGAGAAAGGTGCATTGCAAGCATGTGCAAGCCCTCTTCTCATCAACAGGCATCAACTCTCCAAACCCCTGGGTCCCCGGCATCCGTCCCAAGTCACAGGTAAGCGAATGTGTCGAAATCCTGTGGAAGAGCTACTCGTACATGGGATGGCTTCGGAGAACAGCTCCCACAACATTCCCAAACAAAAGCTCATCCTTAATGCAAACCCATAACTCAACTGCTCTTTGCTTGCAGTCCTTCGTCGTGAGCCCATTTGACTTGTTGTTTGACGACCTCCGGATCGCGGTCACCCTGGTCGTAATCGTACACGTTTCCGATGTTGATCCTCCGCCCAACAAACCCCTCGCTTCAGCAGAGTGTGGCTAAAGTTGTGTTTTGAGCCAAAGTCTCCCTCGGCTCATGTTCTGGACCGTGCCTGGAGCAGGATCGAAGTCAAGAAAAGCGGCTCTGCCACTGGCTCTCTTCTGATATTTAGCGTGTGTTTCCTGCCTTGTTCGGTCTGTCCGGCGACAACTGACTAAGTATCCGTACCCACACAGGCACGCCGGACATGGCATGTTAACCCCAAGTATCTGCCAAGCTGCTACTGCAAGACCATTCCTGAGCTTGGGATTGAATGGTGGCCCCCGTCTGGACTGACACCACCTGCAACAAGCCATGACAGGATTTAAAGGAACAGGATCACGACCTGCCCGCGCCTTCGAATGTCGGTGGGTCGAGTCAGCCCTGATGTGTAAGCGCCAGCAATGCTTGAGATGCTCACTCTGGGCTGGACTATGCATGCAGGGCAGCTACACTGCGGAATAAGGTGGCTCAGCCCAGCAGCTCTTGGAGTGCGCGGCCACCTTCATCAGCATCAGCCTTGCAGGAAAGAGCTCTGCAAACTCTCACCAAGAAGAAGAACATACGCCGCGCCATAAAACAAAACACGACGTCGCCGAGCAACCTTCTGAGCCGTCAGCGTCCTCAGCTGCGACATTGAGAACACGTGAAAAGACAGCCATCGAAGGACAAGCCGAACTACCGCACAGCGGTGGCAACCGGAAGGGCCGGCCCCACCGGTCGGCGGTGAAGTGAAGATTGTCGAATGTCGGCCCGACATGTTGGTGTCTAGTGACCAATTGCGGCGCAGGTTCCCAACATGAACAAAAGCAGCCAGCTTCGAATTGCAAAACAAAGCCTGTCGCACGGAATTTGCGCTCCCATGATGTAAGCCCCTTTCAAGCATTCAACGAACTTTGGCGCATGGCCTGCGATGGGCTTGAACGAACACATGTCACATCTCACGCCCCAACCAGCGGGTGGTGTCCCAATCAAGTCTGGGACGCATCGGGGTACAAATGCAGGGATTGCTGTTTGTCTGCACGAATGGCGTGCGGAAAACTCTTGTTCCGCGAGCTACCACGAGCTAAGGCCCCTTTTTTCCGTGCTCTTGAGTGCAAAGGATGTCACAAAACCTGGCCTGCGCCTGCCGTTGATTGAACTCGCCTGCCTGCTCAGATTGAGACTAGAGTCTGGATGAGGGAAGCCACATCCAGGGCATCAGCGGCCTGCAGAGAACTGACAAGAAGGACAGTATCACTGTTATCACACTGCTTTTGGGTTGCCCCTTGCTTGGCCGGAATAAAGGCCATTGCCGAAGATTTAAAACAAAAAGATCTTGTTTGAGGTCCCCGCACAACCCTCGCCGCTGCAATCAGCCAGCGCAGCAGGCAATGTGGCAGCAAGAATCCGCCAGGCACGTCGCCTCACTCGGGGTTTCTTGAGAAATCGGGACCGAACTTCCCCAGAAAAAGCCCGCACCGCATCAACGTGTCTCTCAGCTTGGCGACGCCCGCTCAAATCAGGAATGAGCAAGAGCCCAAAGAAAATGACTGTGCTGCAGAGGGTGTGAAGGCAGTGAGTGCTTGCGAGTCACATTGCGCAGAGCCACACAGCCGGGCAGCTTTTGGGTAAGGTCGAGCCCGTGAGCTACGGCAGGATCGCTCCAGAGTGGCACACAACAAATCGATGTCGAATTGTCGCCTGCAGCATGTCCAAAGCTTTTACTGCAGCTTTGCCCCAGAGGCCCCAGAAGCTGGCGCTCCCGCGGAGCTCCGGCAGCAGTGGGTTCTTCGGTCTGAGCGCCTTGGCGTCCCACATCAACACAGGCCAGACTCAAATCCAGCTTGTTGGCACCATGGAACCCTCCGTCGGAGTCCGAATGCTTCAACATCCCGCTGGTATGAAGCTAGTACAGCAGCTGTCAACATCGAAGGAGAAGCGACCACACTTTTGCCTGTCTCCTGGCCCTCGCCTCTCAGCCCAGCGCGAAGGCCTTCAGATTGCCAGGCAATGACTTGTCGCTCTCGGTTGCGTGGCATTACGAGAAACGTCGAAGCAAGCCGACAAGCAAGAGAAAACAAAAACTGCAGTCAAGCTGATTTTGGAAGTCGTGAGCCATTGCCAGCAGGTATCTGGCCCAAGGCACAAGTTTAAAGTTATATCCAGCCCCGTCATTGCATGCAGAAGACATCCAAGGCAATTGTTGTCTGCGTACAACTGCATACCCTTATCTGTGCTGGGCCGGAGAACGGAGGCTGCAACTCCTCCATGGTGAGGCAACAGCGTCTCGAGACCCCGACCCATGGTGCACGCAGTAGAACGGAATGGGCCTGACATGAAAGAAGTGAAGGTTCCACACACTTCCACACTGTGAGGCCGTCAGGCCTGGGGCTCGGCCAGCAGCGGCTTTTTGCACGGAGATGCTTTCTCAGGGTTTGTTACAGGGCCTAAGAACTGATGGCCAAAACTTAAAGAGAAACCCTTGCTCGAATCATCTCTGCCTTATTGAAAGTTTGGGGGATGACTTGCAACGACGTGGCCGAGCCACTGCGGCTTTCTAGAATTTAGTGGACGGAGAATGAGTCATCTCCCAAAGACCCGCTGGCAGATGCGAGCACGGCACATGGGGCTGGAGTCCTGTGCACTCCTGCGGCCTGATGAAGCATGACCAGAGCATCAATGTGGCGGAAGAGTGTTTCGGCATCGTAAACAACATCAAGCAGCACAAACCCCGCTGGACGGAGGGAAGGTTTCGCAGATCAGAGGCTTCAGATGAGATCTAAGACTTGTCGCGCAAATGCGCTGCAAAGCCGATCTGCGAAGCCTCTTGGGAGTGTATGGAGATCTGAATTCGTCCAAGGACCATGCTGAGGTGTGCCTGTCACCGCAACTGGTCGACGTGCTGCGCTGCGGTGCCATATACATCGTCCAGGCGCCCAGGCCCCACGTTTTCAGGTTGGTAAGGTAAAGAATCATTAGCCTAGCCTCCACGTGAAGGATTCGAAGAGTTGCGACTACAACGGGTCTACGAATTCTTCGTGTGCCTATGGGATTCTAGCAGCCGGTACTTTACAGTTCCTAGGACGTTGGCTGCTGACTTCGTACACCGTTGCTTGGAACGGACTCCGCACTCAGCTACCCCACGCTCACCCTTACAGCTGGGAACTCTGACTAAACGCGTGATTATTTTGGCCTGTTGTCAACTTCGAACACGGGGCATGGACTCAAAATCTGTGGAGGCACGCCCAGTCAGGTCAGTCTCACTTGGAGTTCGGGCCTTTATATGCCATGCCCACACTGTTACTTCGAAAAGCCGATGCTAGACTGCCGCGCACCTCCAGCACCGCAAGCAACAGCAAGAAAGCAACGCTTGCTCAAAGCAAGCCATGCCCATGACTATGGGCCCATGCTCAGGCAACTTCTATACATTTTACAGCCACAAGAGCTAGCAGTGCATTCAGGCGCCCATCAAGCCCTGGCTCTTGCAACAGAAAAGTCCAAGCCAGTCAATCTTATTAGCAGTCGAGGTACGCCTCTAGGAATTAGGCTTTCCTTGCCAATGTGCATGTGTGTGTGTGTGTGTGCGCGCGCGTGCATGTGCGTGCGTGCGTGCATGTGTGTGTGCGTGCGTGCATGTGTGTGTGTGTGT